ACTAGAAAGTCCTAGATGCCAGAGACCCAAGAGTTTCTCAGGACCCAATAAGGAGGACATTGGCTGAAATACACAACAAAGGGGAGAATGAATCAGTAGAGACCATATCAAGAAGATAGGCACAGCCCCTGTTCGAGGGATGGGCCCTCCCACCCACCTCAAAAATATTAATCCAGAATTTCTCCTGTCAAAATGAAATGCAGGGAAAAATTGTGGAGCAGAGACTGAAGGAAAGGGCATCGAGAGACTGCCCCCACCTAGGGATCTATCCCATCTGCATATACTAAACCCAGACACTATTGCTCATGCCAAGAAATGCTTGCTGACAGGAGCCTGATAAAGCTGTCCTTTGAAAGACTCTGCCAGAACCTGACCAATTTAGATGCAAATGCACGAAGTCAAACATCAGACTGAGCAGGGGACCCCAATGAAGAAGTTAGTACAAGGACTGAAGGAGTTGAAGGGTTTGCAACCCCATAGGAAGAACAACAATATCAACCAACCAGAACCCCCAAGCTCCCAAGGACTGAACCACCAACCAAAGAGTAAATATGGGGGAACCCACTGCTCCAGCTTGATATGTAGCAGAAGATTGCCTTATTGGGCATCACTGGGAGTAGAGCCCCTTGGTCCTGTGGAGGCTCAATGACCCAGGGTGGGGGAATGCAATGGTGCTGAGGCTGGAGTGGATGGGCAGGACAGGAAGCACCCTCATAGAGGCAGGGGGATGAGGGAAGGGATAGGGGAGTTGTGGAGGGGAAACTGGGAAGGGGGATAACATTTGAAATGTAAATAAGCTAACTCCAGGGTATCTGACTTCCTTCTTTGGACTCTGATAACAATAATCATACATTAACACATACATATGGTTCAAAATAAAAATTAATCTTTTTTTCAAGGAAAGCTTTTGCATGCTAACAAATCATGCTTGTATGTTTATGAAATCAGGATTTCATTGCTTGTAATGCAATGCAATAATTCTTAGGAAAAAATAATAAAAGGGAATGTATTAAAATGTAAAAAGAAAAATGAAACATCATTTTGGCCTTTGCCGAATGTGAAGTAGTATTGGTTAATATTTTGTGAGTTATTGGACAATTTTATCACATAAACCCACAAGGTTTATAGGCTATTGTTAATAATCTTAGTTACCCTCCAGAACTTGATAATAACACGCCGTTTCTGAAGTTGCCAAATACTAGACTCATAAAACATGAAGATATCAGCTGGTCTTTATCTGAAATTATCATTCCTACTGGCTAGATTTTATAGTCATAGAATCTGACATCTATATCACTAGAGACAAGGTAACACATCAACCTCATTCAGCTATGAGCTCTTCAAGCTTCAATGTGAATAGTTTGACAAAATTGCTCATTGGTGAAATAACATGGGTATGAGAGTACCCAACCATATTCTTGTAGGACCTAATTCCTAGTCAGTGAGATTACATGAATTCCTGGCACTGATAATGAGGCCAAAAACCTAAGCATACATCATATGTCCAAGTGGAGAACCTAAATAATCCTGCAAAATGAGAATATCATATTTAAACTATTCATACTTAAGTCTTTCTATACTAACAAACAAATGTATCTTTCACCCTTCTTCAAAGAAGATTCTTTTTGCAATAGATAACAACTAACATATATAAGAACAAAGTTTTTGTTCTGTTTTGTTTTGTTTTTATGACTCCCATTCTGTTTTTATGAATTTACCCTATAGGTTAGCTGGAAATCTAGGATGTGATATCTCCAACAGTTTTGTTTTAGTAGGTGTTGTTCAGGATTCTTTTGTTATCTCAGATCTTCCATTTTTCCATGTAGAAGTTAAGATTATTCTTTAAACATCTGTAATGAACTGCATTGGAATTTTGATAAAGATTGAATTGAATCTGTAGACTGCTTTTGTTAAGCTAGCCATTTTCACAATTTAATACTTCTTAGCCATGAGAATGGCAGTCTTTGAATCTTCTGGTATCTTCTTCAAATTCATTTTCAGTATCTTTATGTTTTCATTATATGATATTGTCACTTGCTTAGGTTTACTCACAAATTCTTTAACACTGCTTTGAGTAGTGCTATTTTTCAAATTTCTTTTTTGGTGTGTTTTTACATAGAAAGGTTAATACTTTGTATTTTAATTTTGTATTCTACAATTTTGCTTAATGTATGTATAAGCTGCATGAACTTTCTGGTAGAGTCCATATGGTCTTTTATGTATAAAGTCATATTACCTTCAAAGAAAGGTATTTTGAATTCTTCCTTTCTTATTTCTTTGCCCTTTTCTTCAGTTTTCTTACTTTTCTAATTATATATCAAGTACTGTATTAAAGAGGTATTAATAGAGTAGCCATACTAGTCTTGTTTCGATTTTAGTGAAAATGCTTTGAGTTCCTTTTCAATTACATTGATGTTGGTTTTGAGATTATAGTAATTTGCTTTTACTATTTTCAGGCATTATTTTAGTGAACCTGTCTTTATGTTAACTTATAATTTTTTCCTCCTAATCTTTAATATCTTCTCTCTGTTATATATGCTTCACATGTTGATTATTAGGTGCTGTGGAGAATTTTTTCTATTTAATATTGTAATTGCATTACATTGCATTATATTCATGTCTATTTGATATTCTGCATACCTCTTAGCTCTTGATAGATATCTCTTCTCTTAAATTAGGCATTATTTTCTATCTGATTTTTGTTGAAGATACCTTTTGTGTCTGCCTTTGATATGGCTCTCTTATTCTATAAACCCAAAGGCTTAATTCTTTTTTAAAGGGAGAGGCCAAACCTACTCCATCTTCAGACTGGACTCCATCTTAAAAGTAAAAGAGTCTGAGAACTTGACCTGCAGCTGAACCCAAGCTACACCCAAGTACCAGGAAGGACCTCAGGGCTTTTCCACTGAGCATATTTCAGATTTACTCCCTAGCTACTTCTGAGCATTGACCAATCAAGATAAGTCTGATTGTTTCAGATGCACTTTCAGACCATTTGTGATTGTTTATAGTTTTGCTTCTAAGTATCCACTTGTTGACCTACAATAGTCATTCGGTTAGATTCTTTCCAGGCTGGACACCCCTTTGTTTGCTTGCCATTTCCTATAAAACCTTGTCCTCCTGAGGCTTCAGGACTGCTTCACCAAACTGTCCTGATATGTCAAGGTTAGCTGTAAGTAAGACTAAGCTTGAGCATCTAATAAAGAGACCCTAGTGCAATTTCATCAGAGTTGGCTCCTGAGTTGTTTTTTTAGGGCTAAAAACAATGCACAACAATAGAATTCAAGAATTTCCACATACTTTCTACACTTGAGGGTTTTTTTGGGGGGGGGGCATGGATATTTTTTGTGATTGAGTAATTCAAATACTCTACCTTATCTTTAAGCCTGGGTAGTTTCACTTCCTGCTTACCCAATCTCTTGTTGAGCCTTTGTTTCAATTTTTTTACTTGAATTATACACTTCAAATCAGTATAATTAACTGTATAAGAGACATCATATAAGTAACTCTTAAACAACTAAATCTAAATGTATACTAACTACATTATTTTTAAGCATTTATCCAGAGGACTCCATCTTGATATATCATGGAAATATTTGTACAACTGTGATTTTGCAGCACTGTTCATATCTAAACTATGAAACCAACCTAGGTCTCCAATAGAGGAATGGATAAAGCATATATTGCATACACACACACACACACACACACACACACACACACACACACAGTGAAACTGCTTTTTTAATCTATTAAGCACAATGTTATTTTGTAGAAGACCAAAAAAAAAAAAATTAGTGGGAAGATGACGGGAAAATGGGAAATGATATTAAAGTCTAAGGAGTCATTTTCAAAGTACCTAAAATGTTATTATGTAATCCAATATCAAGTACAATGCATATATTGCTAGAGAATAACAATAACAATATTTACCATGCATACAATTTTAGCATTTATTAAAGATAATGCAATTCACATTTTTATTATTTAGATATAAGGGTTTTAGTTTTCATGAAGATTAAACCATGACTGAATATATTATATATCAAAACATGTAAGTTCAATGTTTTCTTAGATTATTTAATATTTTGTGGTAATACAAATCACTGCAGAGTAGGACGAGTTACATAAATACATAGTACAAAATGGTCAGAGTTTATGCAAGACCATTTCAGATATTCTTACAAATTCAATCTTAATATGAAGTTAAAATTCTTTTAGTGATTTAAATATTTCCTAAATATTTAAGAAGTTCATACATGTATATAATTAAATATAAGCATATTAATCACTCATTCCCTCTTTATCCCCAAAAATTCTCCCTATATCCTTCATTACATGTTCTTCCCCCAATTCCATGTCTTCTTCGCACATTTCCCATTGTGTCCAAATTCTGTTGCCCATATGTCCTCAAGTTTAGGGCAAACACTATATCTGAGAAATGCTATCAATGGCACCATAATCAAAGTGGAGTGAGTCTCCCATATCATGAAGTTATGTACCACAAATAGCTGCTGTATGAATCTCAAGTCAACAACACAAGTATCAATTTTTAAAATTAAACATTTTTACACAAAAGTCTAACATATATTAATTTCATTTTCACATGCTGGTAAATTATATTAAGAAAAATTTTGAAATCCTTACTTCTGTAATTAAATCATTATGTTTTCATTTTACATATGGTAAAAGTATAGCAATTCAAAATGGGCAAATCCATACCAATTTATACTATTTCTGGACACATTCTTTGGTGTGTAAAAACACGTGCAGTGCCAATGTATAATGTTATATGTTCAGTCATTAGGCTGCAGTGAAACTACAACATGTATCTTGGACAAGCACAGCAAGATAGACCTTGATTTACTACATTTACAAATTAATTTTTGATCACTTATGAACAGAAATATTTAGAAGTGCTTCATTTTAAATGCCACCACAATCAGTTATGTGACTCAGTTTAAAAATCTACATATTAAAGGATCATGCAGGTAGGTAACTTATGTTATTTGACTGACAATTTTCTGGAGGGCTTTCTTGATGTCCCTGTTCCTCAGGCTGTAGATGAAGGGGTTCATCATGGGAACCACCATGGTATACATTATCGAAGCCACCACACTTTCCCTGGAAGAACTAGAAACTGTTGAACTAAGGTACACTCCTATACCTGTTCCATAAAATAGGCAAACAACTGACAGGTGAGATCCACAGGTAGAAAAGGCTTTATATTTCCCTAACAGTGATGGAACTTTAAAAACAGAGGAAGTAATTTTATAGTAGGAATAAAATATTCCTGAGGCAGGGAGGAAACCAACAATGATACTTAAAAGAAACATGATTATGTCATTGATAGTAGTGTCAGAACAGGCAAGTTTTACAAGTTCTGGAACATCACAAAAGAAATGATGGATTTCTATGTTAGTGCAAAATGTTAGTTGTGACACCAACAAGCAGTGTACCTGTGAACTCACAAGACTAATGAAAAATGACACTATGACCAAACATCTACAGAGATGAGGGCTCAGAATGACTTGGTAGTGTAGAGGGTGACAAATGGCTACCCACCGGTCATAGGCCATCACAGCCAGCAATAAGCTGTCCATACCTCCAAAAAGAAAGAAGAAAGAAACCTGAGTTAGGCAGGCTGTGTAAGTTATGGATTTGTTATGAGTCTGCATGTTTATCAGCATTTTGGGGACTGTGGTGCTGCTAAAGCCCATGTCAGACAATGAAAGATTGTAGAGAAAGAAGTACATGGGGCTGTGGAGGTGGGGATCAGAGCTGATGGCCAAAATAATGAGAACATTTCCAAGCACAGTGAGCAGGTATATGAGTAGGAATAGTACAAATAAGATGGGCTGCAGTTCAGGGTCTTCTGAGAGTCCAAGGAGAAGGAATTCCAAGGTTCCTGTTAAATTATATGGTTCCATGAGGCTAGGACATTTCTTGAAAAGAAAAAATAAAAGACCATTGTAGTGAATTAAGCACTATAGATGCAAGTGGCTACATGGCTATATGTTTATAATCCTGCAATTCATAAGAAACCATTCATACATGAGAACTGTTAAAGTTTAGAAATCACCTATTTACTCAGAAAAAATTGTTCTGGGGCTAAGAGCTTTGTTTTCTGTTTGTTAGATACTTGAAACATTGAAGAAAGGAAATTCTTGATTTGAATAGAGATATGTGGTACAGTCTTTATCTATTACATGCAAGAATCTAAATATATTTCCAATGGAAAACATGGTAGAGAAAGGTAGGAAAAATATTTTAAAAAGAAAAGAAATTAAGGAAGGAAGGAAGGAAGGATGGGAAATGAAGGGAGAGGAAGGGAAGGGAAGAGAGAGGAGAGGAGAGGAAAGGAGACCAAAGTTTTCTTCCCACCATTCACATCAGGGGTAATTAACAATAGCCTGTGACCCCAACACCAGGGGAGCCTACACCCTCTTTGTATATATTTTGAGATATGATTAGAAATTTTAAAGTTAATTTGGACATTTTTTAATTTGGTGATGAAAGTGTGTGTGTGTGTGCACATGAGCACACACATATGCATGTGAAAAATTTGAGTTGGTAAGAGGTCAACTTTTGTTACTCTCCATCTTATGTTATAAGACATATACTGATTCTGGACTTACTGATTCTGAATCTTACTTGGATTACATTGGCTGGTAGTCAAACCCTACTCACACTATTTGAAGGTTACAGAAACACCTGACCATACTTATGGGTGCTGGTAATTAAACTCAATCCTATTGTGTACAGTAAATATCTCACCCAGTAAGTCATCTCTCTTCACATCCCTCTAACAGTTTCCTATTTTCTCAGTATGGAACACCAAACTGTGATTTTATAGTTTCCCTAGGATGGAAGTTTGTGTGTGTACATTGGAGAGAGTGTCAAGAATAAATGCTGCAATAAACAGTGGAGGTAAATTAATAAATGAGGACAAATTACAGATTTGGTTTGTGTTACTCTAACACTCTGAGTCCCTGCTCCTTTACTCCATGTTAGGGCCATTTTTATTGTAGTTGAGAGGACAAAGGCACCTACAGCTATACTACATATTATATTAGTGACACAGAGTGGAAAACAAAATGGCTAGAAATTTTGCCAGGGGTTAGAAAGAAGAGAAATTTAAGGTTGAATTGGTAGACTAGGTGCCTCTTAGAGATACAGGAGAAGAAGTTTGACTATCTCTATTCAAACTGCTATCACCCTGTTAGAATGTGAGGCATGGTTAAAAACCACAAAAAGAATAATCAACCATAAAACCAGTCATACAAATAACATTATAAAAAAGTGAACAGGAAATATTTAGGAATACACACATTCCTAAATATTTCATATATATATATATATATATATATATATATATATATATATATATATATTCATTAATGAAAAAGGTGATTTCTAACTTGAAGGAGAATTAGGAGGGCTTTTGTGAGTGTTTGGAGGAAAGAAAAATAAGGGAGTAATATGGGAATTAAATTTAAATCTCAAAAATTAAAAAATCACAATAAGGTACATAAAATATACTTTTTGTCTCAGCATGATTATAACACATATATATTTTATAGAGAAATAATTTGACATATATAAAGGTACAAGCTCAGTGAAATACATAGTTTGATATTGTGGAAGCTCTAGGTAAAACTTTCTCTATTCACTCATTTTTTGTCTTATATTTTTCTATAATTCCTGGATATATAGTAGCTTTGCCTTCAAACTGCAGTATACTAGACTGACCTGAAACTCTAAATCTTCCTATCTCAGTTTGATAAATAATATAATCACATGTGTTGCACAATGCCCCATTCATTGGTTCTTGATATTTGGTTCTTATGATCATTTTCATCTCTACCTTCATCACCAAGCTCATGATATTTTTAATCAATAGCAGAGAGTTTAGAGAGATATTAATTTCATTTTCTGGTTGAAAATATTCTTAATAAGTTAAAATCCAAATGGGTAAAAAACTAAACAGTATATGATGGCTCTCATATTAACTAATTAATAAACATAAATTTAACTAATAAAATAAACTTATTTGTACTATGAGATAAAACTTTGCTCATTCATGCATTTTGTCTTCATTACCCCACCCCATATATGTTTACCTTTCTGGTGCCAACAATAAAAACACTGCTGTTTCTCATTTGTTTCTTGCATAGATTACCCCTTACTAAGTTGTAAATTATTTCCATTCAAGAATGACCAAAAGTGATTTATACACTTTTCTACTTTTTCTGGGTGTGTGGTAATGGCCCAGGTGTTCATGACTGGCAGAAAGACAATAAATCATGACACTTCTTAAGCAGCTGAAGAATTTGAGAGGAGAAGAAATATGCATGTAAGTTAATCTGGATCAGATCTGCTAAAGTCTTGAGCTGGAATACAGAGTATTTATGAGTTTGAGGCTCAATTCACAGAGCCAATAATTATACATCAAGCTATTCAAATCTCTAAGGATCTATTAATAGTCATGTAGAAGAGAAAGGGAAAAGTGAATATGCTTGGAAAAGTATAAGTCTTCCTATCTCAGGAAGAATCTTAATTGTATTATTTTGACTTCCAAGTTGTAGAGCTATTAAAAAACTAGAACACATACTTTCAAATAAATGAAGCAGCATGGGATTTAATATATGCAATTTTAATAAATGTTTAATGTAATTTATAGGGAATCAAGTTTTCCATATGAAGTATCTGATACAATTTCTACTTATTTCAGTTAATATCAGTGAGAAGAAATTTGGTTTGATACTTTCTTTTTTTTTTTATAAATAATTTATTTATTTTTGAACATGAAATGCTTTTTTATAGCATGTTTCACAAGGGGAGGGGGTAACAGGGGCCAGATGGTGGAAAAGTACAAAATCTTCTTGGCCTGTGCCTTGAAACATGTCATGGTCTATACGGTACACTGCCTTGAATTATGATCTACCTGCAGTTCTTCAGAAGATATGGTACACTGCTTGAGTTATGGTCTCCCTGCTATTCTTAAGATGATATGGTACACTGCTTTGAGTCTATCTGCAGTTGCTAAGCAGGATCTTGCAGTTGCCAAGCTTCAGAGGACATTGTGCAGGTGGGGAAAGGTGGGGGGTGAGGGTAAGGGCGAGGGTCCTGGCTTCTGGCATCTCCCCCTTCTCTGTTTAGTTAGAGAAGGCATCTTATGATCAATCCCAACTATGTGAATTTTGAATTTGGATGTCTAATTATGGGGGGTCTTAGACAAGTTCACAACCCCAAAACACTGATGTGAGACGAGTCACATCGATGGTCGAAGGTTTTAGGCTGTCGACGATGGGCAACGTCAAGGGACTCCGATGTGGGTGAAAGGAGGGTGAGAGCCCTGTCTTAGGCCATGTAGGCTGCACCCACTCCCAGCACCACGCACTCCTTTTCGGCTGCATTGGGTGGGCCCCTGGGAAGTGGACCTACAATAATCCCGTCATTGGGCTAACTCACAGCCATCCTAGTCTCTTGTAAATGTTCAAGTTACCAACCATTTGTCAGTTTGGGGTGTAATATTGTCATAAAGGAAGGCTCCCCAATGTTAGCGGCCATATCAAGGGTGGCCTTGGTTTAGGAAAAAGCCAATTTTTGTTGTGGTGATCAAGAGGCCAAGCTCTCTATCGAGAGAAACGGGGGCAAAGCCAGGCATACCAGGAACCCTTCTGGAGGGCGTGGAAGTCTAGCGGTCGACCGTAGGGGGGAGGCAGGGGAGCTGGCAGCTGTGTCAGTCTCCTGCAGAGTCACTTCTGGATCCTCTTCAATTTTCGGCTGATGGTAATGAACTTCAACCGTCTTCTTGATGGCAGCATCAACCTGGTTCCGTGGATGATATTCATGTACTTGAGTTTCTAATTTTATGTTATAAAGATGAATGTTTTTTAATTATTTTGCATGTATTTTACAGACATCCCAGGTTCTACTTTTATTTCAAATCATATATGTTTATACTTTAGGCAGTGACTTATTTTTTCTTTCATTTTTGTGATTATAATACAATTATATTATTTCTACCTTCTCTTTGTTTTCTCCAAACCTTCCTTATACCCTTCATTTCTCTCTTTCAAATTCATTGCTTCTTTTTTATTAATAGTTGTTAGATGCATGTTTGTATAGATATATATTTCAAAGCATACTTACACATGGAGGCCAAATAACCTGTATAAACATATCATTGAGTCTTTAAAGTTGTTGGAATACAAAAGTGTAGATGGTTGTAACCACCACAATCATTGCCTAGAAGTATTACAAAGTAGTTTGCTTGATATTACAAAGATTCATTTTTATAAGGATCAAACAATTTTCTTGGTTTCTTGAGACATGGGTTTTTCTATTAAGCACCTGACAGTATGGCAGATGCTTTCATTGACCAGGTTAACATTGGCAAAAAGAATCTTAGTATTTTATTCTGTCATTATTGGGAATGAAATCCTAATTGTTTTTACTGGAAGCAAGAAATTAAACTCACACTCACCAATATCAGAATTTACCAGTTTATGAAAAATACAGAAATGAATCATTGGAGTATCTTTGAAATTAACCACCATTTCCTTTCCAATATCTCAGGTATAAAATAAAAAAAACATTGCCCATAAAAAAATTCTTAAGAATTATCTCATTTGTGTCCTAAGGAATTCTCTAATCATTCTTACCATCATAATCTCAACAAATTTAATTGAAAAAGAATTGGAACATGTAAGAATTTAGCAGATTTTGAATCTTTGCAGGTTCCATCGTGATGCCTTGTATTTTCTCTTCAACCATCATATTTTCTTCATTATTGTCAAGACAAAGTGATTTTCTCTACTTAGATTCAAATGGTGATGTGGAATTCTGAATCCTATTCAATCATTCCGTATTTTTAACACTTTCCCATATAGTAGTATGGGAAAGCATTCTAATAACTATGTCATATTCCACATTAGCCTCTGGGGAAACAAAATTTCCAGCACCTTCTTCT